TAGGGGTTTAGGGTTTAGGGGTGGTGATAATGACAATGAGCATAATAATCATGATCGAGATAACGGTATCAATAACAGTGGTCACAAATTATAATCATGATCAGAGTCATGTTCATAATATAAGAATAGTAATACTAAGAGCAAATCATTTAGGCCCCTATGTTAGATACCTAGGCCCCACACGGGTCTCGGTTCTGGGTTTGGTATGCTCTTCACGGCATCCCATCCCAGGAACGCAGGACCGGTAACCCTCAATTCATCATTAGAACCGTGTTTTTTGGGAGGCGGGGTATGCTAGTAGAAGTTTATGTGGCACTATATGGGAATACAAAATGGGGATACCAAGCCCTAAACCCCAAACATAATATGACAGTGTTTTTCCGACCGCCATATGAAACATCGGGCCTAAATCCTTGGAAGCCTAGAGTCGAAACTGTTCGGGGAATGGGTTTGTGGAGGTTGAAGCCTTGGGGCTTTCGGGCTTAGGGTTTTTAGGGCTTTTAGGGTTTAGGGTTTAGGGTTTAGGGCAGAGGGTAATCTCTAGAACCCCAAAGCCCGAAAACCCCCGAAACCTACGAGACTCCGAGGAAAACCGCGCCCCAACGACCCTCCCCCGAACCCGCGGCCGGGCCTTGCATGCTGAAAACCGTCCCCACGGCCGTCATCCCCGCAGATTTCCCAAGCTTCCCTGGAAGCTCCTCTGGGCACCAAAAGGACTCTAGGGCTTTGGGGTTTAGGGCTTAGCGTTTAGGGTTTAGGGTTTAGGGTTCGGTGTGGTAGACTCTGGCGCTGCGGCTGAGAAATTCAATCGTTAGCAGCAAGACGCGCGAACTGCAGTGCTTCAAACCTTCCCAACCACGTAAGTAGACAATAAACTTCCGAGGGTATCGAACAAATCTCACCTAAACCTTAAACCCTAAACCTAAATCCAAAACCCCTAAACCCAAAAATACCATACGCCAAAACCCGAAACTCGAAATCCTACACCCCTACATAGCTGAACCCTTAAACCCAAAACCTCTGCCTAGGGGTTGGGGGGTCTGTCAGCATTTGTTTTGGGCCCCACGGTTTCGAGTTTTAGGGTTTAGGGTTTAGCGGAGTTTTGCGCTACCATGAGGAATCCTCTGAGAAATCCTAAAGGCACTGAGGGTTTTGGGCTTGGGCCTTGGAGCTTAGGGGCAGGGTTTTGCTGTTGAGTCTTCAAGATCCAGAGGTTTAGGATGGTTTCGGTTTCGGGCTTAGACGTTTGCTAATGAGCCATTTACAAGGTGCCTTAGGGGCCTTAAGAATTAAAATAAGGCTTTGGGGCCCATTATACTGTAATTATAATGAGGAACCCCCCAAAATAGTATAGGTAATTATTTGGGCCGCCATAATTAGGCCTCCATATTAGCACTCCTTCAACTTCCGCTGGATGTGCTGCTCTTGGGCCTTGTACCTTGAAGGTGCTCAGGGGCGAGGAAAAACGCAGCCCATCTCCCACACCCCAGACCCTACATGCCCTACATAAGCCGTACAAAGATAAGACTATTCCTGAAGCCCCAGGTTAACCCACAACGATTGCGGTTTAGGGTTTTAGGGTTGAGGGTTCAGGGTTTAGGGGTTTAGGGTTTAGGGTTTAGGGTTAAGGGTCTACGGTTTAGGGTCGACGACTGCTTCTGTTCCGGCTCCCCCTTGCTGCTACTTCCCATGCCGCTGCCCTTGCTACACCCCGCGGCACAACATTCTCTGCTGTCACTACATGTAGAGGCCTAGGGTTCCTTATTATAAATACAGCATAATGGCCCCCTAAACCCTAAACCCCAATAGTAGCCCGCATAGAACCCTTGAAGGAACCCCTTAAAACTGAGCCCCAAAACCCTATTCTAATTATTAAGGCCCCTATAATACCTGTTATTCCTCATTAGAATAAGGTTTTGTGCCCATTATACTATACTTATAATAAAGAACCCCCCAAAATAGTATTGGTAATTATTTAGGCCCCTACATTACAGTCTACTCCTCATCCTGCTTTGCTCTGCTGCTCCTCCTTCAGCTGCTTCCTGCGGCTCTGCTGCTCT